CCTTCGCGCATTAAGGGTCACTGTTCTAACCTAACCTAACCTACTATTTTCTGCAATACCTACTTTTTGCAACCATACTATTTTTTGCAATCTCTTTGTTATACATAAAATTCTTGTGAAAACCATGATTATGTGCCTTATGCTTTGATTTGTGGGTAACGGTGGGTAAGTATGAGAAGTGTCAATTTGACCAAACAAATTATTTGGGATATAATATTTGGCAAAATAAAACATTTGCTATTTAAACATTTGCCAAGTAAAATTTTGCCAAATGATAGTTTGACCAAATGAATTAGTTGCGAAAAGTACAGTTGCTAAAAGTTCATTTGCGAAATAAAACTTTGGCGATAAGTTGTTTGCGAAGTGAAATTTGGCGAAAAGTAATTTGGCCAAACGGAAGGATACCTAAACATCTATCTAATATTGAAATCATGCCCGTTATAATACTCGTTATTTAATCAAATCATGAGCCATCATTTTCTACCTCTAGTAAAAGTCACAATTTTCATCACTTGATCACGAATCAAAGATGATGCATGATCGAGGAAACGAAAATACGAAATAACTTATTTCTCAATTGCTTTGAACGATTGGCAATAATAGCAATTTCACTATCACGACATGGAAAATAACTTTATTTCACAGAAAATATGGAATCGTAATAGGTACCTAATAGTAAATCTGGGTAACTTTGGCCATCAGTATGATATTATATTAATAGGCTGGGTTGCACCATCTTACTTTAACTTTGGCAAACGTCAAAAATCTTTCAAACTCCATACAAAAAATATCGGTTATCGTTATAGTTATCGTCAAAGTTAGGTGGTGCAACTCAGCCTTAATTACGAAGTACGGTAAAAGTAAGTTAAGGTACTTATTTTTTTTCTTTTCATTATATTTGAAAGCTAATGTTTTATAAATTAAGTCTAAATTGGAATTAAATGATAAATAAACTTATTGAGTAAATCGTTGATTAATTAAGTAACTAATGAAAAGTTTGTGTAGTTTGCTTTACTAATTACAGTCTTCGGGCTTAATTAATAACTTGAAGACCACTTATTTATTTAAGGAAGTATATTAGGTACAGTTTGGTACAGTCAGTATATTGGTGTTGTAAAATCGCATCTGTTACGATTGCATAAAGTACACAGTTTCAGTGTTGACTATGATATACAGTGTAAATTCTCATACAAGTAAATAAAAATAATTGACTAAACATGTGTAAAATAGGGGCTTTGCTATTTAGTAGAGCATAAATAAATCTATTCGTTCGTTCGTTCGTTTCAGCCGAAGACGTAGCGTGGGCAGGCCTCCCACTAGGTGGACCGACGATCTGGTGAAGGTCGCGGGAAGTACCTGGATGCAAGCGGCGCAGGACCGGTCTTTGTGGAAATAAATCTATTATTAATACTTAATTATGATCATTTTAGTTGAACCATTTTGTAATTGTTACCTTTTTTTACGTTGCTCGTTTGCCTTTTGTCCTGTCCCATAAAAAAGCCTTATTCATTTATTATAATAACAAGTTTCCACACAGAGTTTAAAGTGATGAGACGTGCCCTGAAAATGACTTCAGTACAAGATTATGAACCTATTTTAGTGTTTGGGCTAGACTTATTCTAGCTCTTGGTAACTAACTGGTTTATCTTCAGTCATGCGTGTATCATTTGAGTTGTATTTCCCGAAAGACAAGACATTTTGCAACTGTTTTGCTTGTTAGAATTCAGTATTAGGTTATTAGCTAAAATTAAATTTTTCTAACACACTTTACGTTTTATTTAGCATTAGATACATTGCAATAATCCCAATAAAAAGATTTATATTAATTCGATTTACCGAATAACGGTTTCTTTACGAGATTGAATCAGAAATGAGGAGATCCGTAAACGAACTAAAGTCGCTGACATAGCCCGACGGATTAGCAAGCTGAAGTGTCATTGGGCAGGGCACATAGTACGCAGAACTGACGGCCGATGGGGCAGCAAGATTCTGGAGTGGAGGCCGCGTACCGGAAAACACAGCGTGGGACGTCCACCCACAAGGTGGACCGACGACATCATAAAGGTAGCAGGAAAGCGCTGGACGCAAGCCGCTACCAACCGGGTAACATGGAAAGCATTGGGGGAGGCCTATGTTCAGCAGCGGACGTCCTGTGGCTGAGATGATGATGATGATGACCGAATAACGGGACGATGAGTGTCACTGTACAGTCAGCGTCAAATAGTTCGTGACACCCAAAGTAGCCAAAAAGTTCGCAGCACGTCTTTGTTACAATTTTGAAATAAGATTGTGTTGTCAACTTTTTGGCCACTTTGGGTGTCACGATCTATTTGACTCTGACTCTACAGTCAACAGCTTCTCACATTACCTATTTTTGTTAAAAACCCACTGCAAAAGATGCCACAGTATTTAGCCTAAAGTGCCCTCTTTTGTACATGTTTACAATTCCAAAACATGAAAACAACAAGGCACTTGCCTTCAAGAATCGCGATGTCCTTTCCTCAAAATCTACTTTCGCTTCCCTTTCGGTTTATTGATCTTCGTTAATGGCATGTGACGGGCTTTAATTACGTAGAGCAGTCACGATAATCACCATAAATTTTAATTCCAGTAAAATAAAAATAATTTCGTTATCAAATAAAGAGCTTTGTTACAAAACGAAATGCCTCTCAAAAATCGTGAAGTAGGTAACTTACGAGAAAGAGGCTAAAGGAGAGAGTTCACAAAAGAGTTCATAAATAAAGAGTCTTTAATATAAAGTCTTAATAACACTCAATAATAGAGTCGCCATTCTTGAGATAATCTCGTTTGATTATGAGCTTAAACTTAAACTGATGAGCTCGAGTTGAGCTTAAGCTTAAACCTTTATAATTGCTCTGCCTCTTCCCTGTATCGGTAGGTACCCTTCTACAGAGATCAATTGGACTAAATAATAATAATACATTTATTTATTTCGGACCAGAATAATCCAATGTTGTGTTAGTAACAGTCACAGTTAACACGTTACTTATAAACTAGTTAGGGTTAGTAAATGAAATTTTCACCAGGTTTATCTCTACAGCTGAAAATCAGCGTCAACACTGACTGTCACGGCAAGTAATTCAGAGATTTTATATCTTTATTGCTTGTATTATATTTTAAATTAATGTAGCGCGCCAAATATAACGCTTTATCTTATCATCTCATAACGTATTATCGAAAACAGAAATAACATTTCTGCAATTATAACATAACCGCAACCGACAGGCATTGCGGTTGCCAAAAGCTTCCTTTTTACGAAAGAAATTAAGTGCTTTTACTTCACGACAACAGCATTCACGGATGCAAAATTCAATTTAATCAACGATCTGATAAATTCAATCAGCGATCTGATAAGTGTACTAATTACTGTGCGCTTACGCCGAGATGATTGTATGATAGAGCGGTTTAAATAATTCGATTTCGAAAGCTCTGACACGTAAGGGACAATATGAAGTGAGTTTGCTAATGCCAGAGTAGGTCACAAAGTACGGGACAATTGATCTAATAATTAAAATTTCGCAAATTGAAACAATATTGTTGATTTTTTTGAATTCTTTATTAGTTTTAGTACCAGTAGTAACTAGCTTTTCAGGACATTTGAACATTTCTAAAATGTAGCTTTCTCTACCACCATTTTGTTCCAAACCTCTACATCAGAACAGTAGGTTAGTTACTTCACATTTAAATAATATTAGATTTTAGATATTATTATATAACTTATATTACTTTTACGTAAATTCCCTGAATAAGGCTGGTTACTAATACATCTGCCAACTAAAGTTTGCCTTACCATACTTACTGGTATGAATTAAACCGTCTTTTATTTCTGTCAACCACTTACTTGGTAACCTATTCATTTTGTCATTACGGAAGATCGGCATATGCCGATCTAGAGTGTTTAATTCATATGAACACTTAAGTTGTAAGTAATTAGAACGATTTTGTAACAAACATAATTAAGTTTGAATTTCAAGGTACTTAACTTCGTTCCATTTTAATGGCACACCGATCATCTGATAGAATTTTCTTTATGTTTCTGGTGTCCGACTTTATTAGGTGCCTGGCATGGCTCAATCACAATAACTACAACATTATGCGCCTAGGATGGCTCAATCACAATCAGATCACAATAACTACAACTTTATAACTGGATGCGCGTACGCAACCTATAGTTATCCGAGTTTGTGTACCGATGCTCTGTTTCGCAAAGTTTTGTCGTCCTTGCTCTTAATTTTTATTTTCAGTTTTAATGCGTGAGAGGATTATGATAGTTTGAGGTTAATGACGATTCGAACTTCTTGTTCTTTTGCTCTTAAAAATATGTATTTATTAATGAAAATCTACCTTTCGAATGAAGGGTACTAGTAGGTATACAGTAGGTATACCACAGTTTTAATAGGGCTAATACCCAATTAAAATACTAATCCTTCAGAAATATTTGATGGGTATAAATTATTGTTATTAGCTGAAATTCAGGAATAATTTCTCAGACGTTGTATGTATTTTATCTATTCTATAAGTAATAGAGTTTCTACTTCAAGTTTAAGTTATAATCTAACCTATTTAAATTTAATGCTTGACAAAGAGAACTATTACTTTGGGAAAAGGTAGAGATATAACCTTTTCAATGAATATTGAAATCAGGATACTCTCAGGGAAATTAACGGTAGAAATATTATAAAAAGAAATCACTTTAAAATAGTTACGTGAGTACCTAATAAAGTAGCATGGCAGGTACATAACACATTGTAAAATGCCTTCCTCTGTCACCACGTTCGATTGTTATCAAGAGTCAAGACTAGAAAGCCTACATGTAAATCCAGAATTACCGAACAATTACGTTACTTACGTTGTAATTACAAAAGAAATTGTCTCCGATAGCAAAAATGCTCCCAACAAATTTCTAGCTATTGTCTGAGACGTCGATAGATTGTCAATGCGTGTGTATTGCAGCGCACACACTCGTGCGCAGGTGAAACCGCGTATATAAGCGATGCAAATTACCGAGTACGGCATAACCGACTACCCTACCGTCCCGGCCGCATACAAACCACTCCAAAATGAAGTACCACGTGGGTATTGTGTTGTGTTCTAAGTACGGACAGTGACGTGATGTGTTCCCAAAGTGCTAACTGTGATATTCCAAAAAAAAAGTTCAAAATTTAAAATTTTCCAAAAAAAAAATAACAATTATAAAAAAAAATTCTAATACTACAGTTTCAAACCTCTGTTACGAAAATAAAGCAGTGCATTTCTAATTTAATATTTATCGATTTTAAATCGAATTAATAGCTGTCCATCAATGTTCATTAATTAACTGTATCTAAAAACAAAATAACAATTAACAAAACAATTGAAAGTGAAAACAAATTAAATAAACGAATTGTCTACGCAGATGAAACGATCCGAATCCAATCGGCAGTCATAAAGACCGTGATTAAATTCATTTATGTGCACATTCAGTGAGCAGCGATCGCTTTGTGTCTTCCTGCTCTCAATATTATAGGAAGACTTTCTTGTTGCATAACCCTAAACGCGGTGTTCCTTATACTTGGCGAAATAAACCGGTCTCGAGAGAACGGCTACCGAGCCATAATCCCTTATCTAATTGGCTGTTATTACATACAAGTATTACAGAATTGTTTGATTGTCGACACTCGAAACACAGTCGAACAGTTAGGAATCAATTCCGTATTTATTGACCTATGAGTTCATAATAATATCATTAGATAGATAGCTATTACGTTTGCACATTACAAAAACGAATGGAACAGCGCATGAATACATTATTTCGTTCAATTATTAACATCATATTAGACTTTGCACATCAGAACTGTCTGCTCAGTTTAATTGATTGGATCGATGAATAAACAAAAGTTGTTTTTTGCAGATTTTCTTGGGATTCCTAGCCGTTGCGGCAGCGTACCCCGGCATTGTCCACGAGCATCACGAGGCTCCCCAGCTGGAAGAGAAGTATGACCACGCGCTCATCGGCGAGTCAGGCCACCACCACCACATCCAACATGAGCACGCCAAGTCCCACCAGTCCATCAAGTTCGAGCACTTCCACCCAGTCCCTGTGTACGTGAAGAAGGAACATCAGCATCTGCTTGAACACCCGCTGGAGAAAGGCAAGTCTGAACAGAACCTGAAGCTGATCCACCCTGAGACTGAGCATAGTCATGGTGGCGGTCTCGTGCTCGAAGACCACAGGCTCGACACTGAGCATCTCGCCCACGCCCACGGCCTTGAGCACCACGGAGGCTTCGAGCATGGAGGTTTCGAGCAAGGTGGCCTCGAGCATTACGGAGGAGGATTCGAGGGCTACGAAGGCGGAGAAGGGCTCAAAGGATACGCTGAGTTCCAGCCCTCTCACGGCTACGTGGCCGAGCAAGGCCATGGCCTCTCTGGCTACAGCGAGGAGTCCTACAAACACGGCGGTTACTAAGCACTCCTGGGCCCGATCCTGACGTGGACAACCACTAGGGGAATGGGCTAACTCTTGCCTGTTGATATTAGTTTAACCGTACATTTATTTTGCGCAGGAAATTTTAAAGATGCAGTTTTCTGGAAGCTTACAGATGAGAGTTGGTTATGAATGTAAAGTTTCTTGCGCAACTTAAATGTCTGTAACTAGACCTAAGTGCCTGATTGTCAAGACTCATAAGCTTAAGTTCGGGAAGTGCTCTATTTTAATGTACCTGATGTAGACTTAGAAATTGTTTTCTCAACGAATTATGTTGAAACGTAACGCGTTGCGTTGCGATTTTATTACGAAATTGTAAAGCGGTGTGTGGCGTAGTAAGTGTGTTTAGTCTCGCGCCAGATTTGCCTGTATGTGAAATCTCGTTGGATGAGTCCCTGAAATTGTGATATTAATAAATGTTTGTTTTTAACTTAATCCTTTTTTCACTTAACCCTCTCACAAGTATGGCGAAATTATTCAGTCATTTACACCTCGAGTCGTTTGTTTATCAAATACATGAAATGATTTCACGCTGTCATTAAATATGTAGAGTAAACTAATTACTAGGACACTAACCTTACACACATGTCACTGTCAAATTAAATGGTTCCAGTTCTATGAATTCCAAACCGGCATTAATTATTATTAGATAACATGCAACCGGTTTTTAAAGCAAAATGATTGACAGCGGGCAATATCGTTTGACAGCGACACTATTCTATCAGGAGCAAAGAAATTAAGAACACGCTGTATCGATTATTTCAGCATTCTCTTGTCTTTCTTCGTTAAATCTTACTTCTTGGTATTGCTTAAGCTGTTAGGCTGTAGACAATTGATCTGGTTAAATAATAATTACAGGGTGAAGAAATTACATGACAATCAAAGAGGTAGAGTCAATAATTGAACACCGCTTGAATACACATAATGATGTATTACAGCAGATTACAGCGCTGTTATGCAGCCAGATGACTTGCTAAGCACGTAACGAAAGCCTAGAAGTCCGATCGTGCAATTTTTTACATTGCTTTCCTTCAGACTGTATGATTACATTACACTTTTTATGCTCTGCTAATGTAGTAATTAAATTGGTTAATATTGAATATGGCGTGTTATGTAAGTTATGAGCTTAAATAAAAGACATTGCGGCAATCAGTGTTGCAATATGAATCTGGTGTTACCATTAGAAATTACTATTGTTACACATTTTGGATACGCCCAATTTCTATAATGTTAGAGCGTTAGCAGGCAGAGTATCAAATAGAATAAAGTCAAATAAGCCGATGTACCTAATACAGCCATCATTCTGGCAACTGGGGATAACATATTGTAGCTTAAAATTTTTCAACGACTTCCTGGCTTGAAATAACCATAATTATGTCTGCCACTGAGCAGTATTTTAAACTTCAATATTACATTTGAGGATACCTAGTACCTAGTAAAGGTATTATATTATAATAGTTCTGTAATTATAGTACCAACATAGTACCGATATACATTGAAGCTATTTTCTTTGGTACGAGAGATTAGATAAATACAAATTCAAAAACAAATTAACTATTACCTTAACATTATCTAATTCATAGTTTATTTTCTTATGCCCTAATTGGTGAAAAGCACTTACAAACCGACACTACATCAGATATTACATTTTATTGCAATATCGCACCTATCACTTGCGTAATATAACAGTGTTTACCTCGATGTGCCGTCATCCATACATGAAAAGGCTTGTAGGTTTAAATATCTAGTAATTTAAAAAAATGTAGTTCTTCTAATAAATAATAGTAAACGTTTTATTTTTTTTAAAAACCTGTTGTTTACGAATCATTACATTTCACAATTTATTTGATTCCTCGTTATATGTAATTTAATAAAAAAAGTTTAATAAAAAAAGTTTATTAGCTTTTAAAGTAATTATGAAGTATAAATTAAATAGATATGTTTTTTCATTAATCGCTATTGTAACAAGGGTTTACACGCGTCTTTTCTCGCGTTAATTTGAAGTGAAGAACTTTGAAAAACTTTACAGTACTAAGGAAGTACCTATATAGAATACAATTTATGCGATATAAATCCTTGTTTTTGCAATTTTTTTATTAATATGTATTAGGGCATGTAGAGTTATTCTACTTATGTAGAGCATGCCCCAAAATTGGTTGTAAAATTTTACTAACAAACACTCCGACTCTTATGATTATAGTAATCATAAATTATAGGTACATATTGTGCCTATGTAATCATATTTTTATAGTAATCCGAGTAAATTATACAAAGTAAAAGCAATAAATTAATTGAATATATAACAATGCCGGAATAATAGAGAACTGACGTTATTTATCGACTGAATAATTAATTCTTCAGGAAATTATGAATTAATTTGCATTAAAAACGTATTAATATTATTATGCTGATATAATTAATACTGACAAGCGTTTTGGCACTTATTTTTTTTATTTAAAAAAATATTGTTTGCTGTGTAAAGCTCAAAGTTGCAGTGGGCTATGCTCGGCGTTTCTTTACGAGGTTGAAATGAGGAGATCCCTAAACGAACTAAAGTCGCTCACACAGCCCGACAGATTAGCAATCTGAAGTGGCTAGGCAGGGCACATATTACGCAGAACTGACGGCTGATGGGGCAGCAAGGTTCTAGAGTAGGGGGCGGGTACCGGAAAACGCAGCGTGTGACGTCCACCCACAAGGTGGACCGACGACATCTTAAAGGTAGCAGGAAGGCGCTGGACGTAGGCCGCTACCAACCGGTCAACACGGAAATCATTGGGGGATGCCTATGTTCAGCAGTGGACGTCCTATGGCTGAGATGATGATGATGATGAAAAGCTCGTGGGCTAAAATCCCCCTTCAGGTTGTCGTTAATTTCAGAAGAAATGAGATGTAATGAGAAATGAAAACTTCATGAAATTAATTTCTGAAAATAACTCTTGAACAGAAACTGGAAAATTCAGTCTGAAGCATCGCTATATTTATAAAATAACGCTTGCACATAAGTAGAGTATTTAAAACCTGTAGTCATTAAATTTCTTTAGATTGTTTTTTAATTTGTGGCATGTTGGCTGCTTATATTGATATTAGCGATTTTTCGCTCTGCTTACGGCTACGTAATGTTGCCCATTAGGAAGACAATACCGATTGCTTATCTAAAAACCCGCAACTGCCCCAATTGGGGGCGTTGCAACTGCTTTGTTTGCGATTTTGATTAAAAAATACTTGTTTTCATTGTTTGTAAATGTCTTTATGAAGACGATAGCTCATCATGAGTTATGTGATTCAGAAATATGATAAACTTTTTTGAATCAGCTATTTTCGTCACAATGTGCATAATATGGATCACATTAGCTCATTTAAAAGCTGCTTCTTTTAGCCTAGATATTTTCTCTTCAACGGCAACCTATCGCTAACTCGATTCTTCTTCTCAGTCGGTACACTCTTGTCAGAGTGGTCGTGGTCATCATTGTGAATCACGATGAGTGGTTCCTCGCAATACGGCGCCATACCTCGCTCACTACAGCTTTCCGGGCACTTTCGCTAACCGAACACTTAGTTGCGGCCTTGATCTGGTCCGTCCATCTCATTGGTGATCTACCACGTGGTCTGGTGCCCTCAACTTTTCCCTGCACTGCGAGACGCTCTATGGAGTCATTACTGCGCCGAGATACTTGGCCGAAGAAGGTCAAAATGCGCTAGCTCGATGGCATCCTAGAATTCAAACGCCCCAGAAAAAAATCATGGTACGCCTATTATTTATACCACAATATTTCATTAATTCGTAAATTCAATCAAAATGAAATCAACACTATATTATATTGTCAACGAGTTTTGTTTCGCTACACCAAATTTAAAGTGTGCAACACACATCATTAGGAAGACAATAAATGTGATTGTGTTGAAGCAACTTGCTTGACCTAGCTAGACGATGTTCAGTTACGTTCAGTGAAAATATACCTCCTTATCAATGAATTTAATGTTTAATTTAATTACGTGGTCATTTATTTTGCAGTTACTTTTTTTTTTAATTTATTTATTATTCATTATTGAGCAATTACACATTTGATCCAAATAGCGTCCTAAATCCTCTTTAGGTTTGTCTAGACACTATTGTTCTCTATACAAATAAAAACAAACGTTTTAGTATAATATTATATACTTAATACGTAGTTCGTTCGTTCGTTTCAGCCGAAAGAGGTCCACTGCTGGACAAAGGCTCCCCCTAAAGACTACTGTGCGTTTAAACACTAAGCGCCAGGCTTAGAAGACAAAAAAGTGTACTATGCATGCATAAGTAGATGTAGAGACAACAATAGTGAACATTTTAGGTGCCAGTTGTAGAAGAATAAAAAGCAGTTCCGCGGTAAGTCACTGATATGTCAAAGGCCAGATCATAAGTCATCACAAAACGTGAACTTAAAGCACTAACAAGTCACAACTTACGGGGCAGTATGGCGAAAAGCGTTTGCGCAAGTCTCAGAAATCTCGTAATTTTGCGGACACATCTCTTCCTGGTATAGTCAGACTTGAATATAATTATGTATTTACAACCACAGCAATACATTGAGGAGTTTTAATTTGAGCTTTAGGGAACTCGGAACTGCGACTAAACTGCTCTATATTGCAAGAAGATAGAAAAGAAAAGAACGAATAAAAAATAATATAAAAAATTGTAATTCATTGCTGATAAAAAGTTCGTTTGGTAGACCAAAAACCTATACCTATAATTATGTGGTAGATTGAATCATTATTGACTTGTAACTGTTAGGTACTTACGATATACTACGATAGTTCGTTCGTTCGTTCGTCAAGACGTCCACTGCTGGACAAAGGCCTCCCCCAAGGATTTCCACAAAGACCGCTTCGGCGCCGCTCACATCCTGGCACCTCCCGCGACCTTCACCAGATCGTCGGTTCACCTAGTGGGAGGCCTGCCCAGGCTACGTCTTCCGGCTCGTGGTCGCCACTCAAGAACTTTCCTGCCCCAGCAGCCATCGGCCACTACAATAGTAATGGGAACATTCTGCATGTATGTCTTTAAAGTGTTATGTCATCATTCTGTGTGGTCACTCTAAATATAACAGACTGTTAATGTTTTATGTCCGAGTGTACTTCATTTAGTATTCACTCAGGCTTTGCTTTCTACCTCGTAGACGACATTTGTCGTTGAAATTCGATCGGACGGAAGATCACGAGAACGTGTGAAAACCAAACGATAAATAAGCTGGCTTTGATAGTATGTGCGTGTATGTAATTTCTTAGTAAAGAAAAGCGGCGATTACGTTGGAATATCAATGATATCATGTTAGTAATGAAGGCATCATTTGAATACTTTATAGAGTATTTACTACTTTATATAGGATTACCACACCTGTAGATTAGTTGGAAAACTTGAATAAATAATGTGGTTACTTTAACGAACGATTAGATTAGTAGATATTATTAAATCGAAATAATAAGTGGAGTAAACGTGTTCTCAAGTGGATATCATGTTTCAGCAAATGTAAAGTAGGACGCCTGATGCACAAAAGACCGACGACCTCAAGAAAAGAAGAAGGGCTGGATGGAAAAATAGGAAGAATGTGCTCTTTCGTCCAGTCGGGATGATGATAAAAATTAAAGTAAGTAATGTTGAAAATTTGAAATCATCTAATCGTTGTTGGCCATAAAACAAATCAGCAAATATTTTGATTGTAGTTACAAATACATAATTCAGGATTTATAAAAGATATTATGCAATTATGCTAACCTAAACTTTAGTGTGATTTAGGTAGAGCAATTTCATTCTTTACAAATAATTTAAACAATATGATTGTTCGTTTTCTTCTAGCAAAGAAACAATAATCAAGCGCCTAGTGAATTCTTTGCCAGCGATTTTGTACACAGATGAAATTAATGTTTCGTTTGATGAAGGCGATTGGAATAAAAAGTTGTTAAATTTTCAAACCCACTTTAATAACACTCAACAATAAATAGATTCTCACAAATCATAATTCATCCCATAACACAAAAACAGGTTTTTAAAACAATTACCATAGAATCAAAATAGTTTAGTGCTTCCAGCCGTGTCGAAGAATTGGTTTTTCAGTAGGCAAAGATGGGATGATACTTACATGTCTAATCCCTCCAATAATGGGGCGTCGTTTGGTGGTGACCTCTTTCCTTATAACCACTGGAGGGGATTTCAGGATAGCTTGAGCTTTAGCCAAGGCATTTTCCTTCTCCAACTTGAGCACAAACTTTTGATACTCAGCTGATTGCTTGTGATCCTCAATACTAGGAGTATATTTCTGATAATAAGAATCATCTTTCTGGGTAGCTGTCTCCTCTTGATTATCTTCTGTCACTTGTGGGTTTGAAGGTTTACGATTATACGGAGATTCGTACTTGTCAAATTCAGTTACGAATTTTGATATTTCCTTCACTTCTTCAGGTTTTGGAGCCTCGGGTGAGTAGTCAGGCAAATATTCATACGGGACAAGTTTGTACTGCTTCTTATGTAACGGGTCCTGTTGAACTTCAAAAAGTTTTGATAATTCGTCATTGTCTGGATGTTGATGAGGTATCGGATGGAACAGTTGGAGCTTCGGAGTTTCATGAACTTTCTCATCGGTGTAAATCTTTATGAACGAGTAACTTTCAGGGAACTTTGTGTTAGGGTTTTGCTGGTTTAATTTTTCCAAAGGCGCAAAATATTTGAGATCGTCCGAAATCTTCGGTATCGGTGTCCAGCTTTGCTGGAATTTTGGCAAAAAATCGGCTGCGTTTTCGTTAGCAGGTTCTTCTACTGGTGGTGGTGCATTATGTAAGTTTGAAGCTGGTTTTTGAACATCACTTTGGTCTTTATAGTAAAAAATGTGTTGTTGCTCCAGCTGTCTTTTTATTTCAGCATCCAACTTCTCCAGATCTTGTTCACTTACGCTTTGGCTTTGTTTTTGGCTTTTTTCAGCTTGACTCGCTTCTAAGGCCCGGATCTGGCTTGGCGTTAAATATAGAGTTACTTCTTTCATGACATATCCTCGGTCACTGCTGGGAGCGGCTGTTGGTGAGCTTTGCTCAAATTTGTATGGTCCGGGATCATCTGTGCTTGCCTGTACGGTGACCAAGCATATTGACACCAGAAGACATTTCTGAAAACAATAAGAAAACACTTTAACTGAACTGATTTGCGCTGATGTCGCTCATATTGTATAAAGACAAACGCGTAGAGTCCGCTACGAAGGTATCATCCGATATCATGTTTCAAATTAATTTAAATTATTTCAAAATCTCTACTATTGATAAAGAAAATCTATCATTCCAATGTTTTCTATCTATTATTAATAGAAATTAATTTACAATTCGATTATTAACTTACTATTGAGGTCATTTTGTGGCTTTGTCACCCGCTGCGTTGCGTACGAGCATCTGCGCATCGTCTCCTAAGTCCACATACTTTATACACATCACTCTACCACGGAAACGCCATTTGACTTGCAATTAGATCAAAATCAATGAGGTTACGAAATAAAGAGAGGAAACATATTATAATACTTTGGCCGCGTATGCAAATATTTAGCTTATTAATTCGATATGAACTCTGAACCACTTAGTTTGCTGCAATTCTTGTTAGGTTTACACAGTTAAGTTTCCTTTTAAAGGAATGACTCAAAAAGCAGATCCAAAAGTAGCTCGATCTTGAAACTTTTGTTTAAAATACAGATTACCTTAAGCAATATTGAACTAATTCTATACATTCTAGTTTACCCAATAGTAATAAAACTTAAAAGCGTGATAAGTGAGAAAATTTATCGATGAAAATATCTACTTCAAATCAGGGATCTGGTTCACCCCTCGCCAAACTACAAAAAAATTGTATTGAATTGAGTTAAAATTAAAGAAAGAGGTAACCTATCTATTTTTTGTCGTGTTAACCACGAGATGAGACAAATAATTATAATGCCTATCAAGACACAATTTTTATTTTTCAGTTTCGTTACTCTATCTTCGAGATGTGTAGTTACTGTTGATCTCACCCTGTTTGAAACATAGAACATTTATAAATAATAATATGTTAAAATCAGAATAGTAACAATGAAGCCATAACTCATACCAAAAATAAGCTCCTCTCATAACAGGTGATTAATCTGACAATTAAATCTACACATATAAATATTTTGACCATTTATTGGCGAGTAAATTGATTTCATTCTGTGAATAAAAGCTACTTATTAGTATAATTGGAAACACGTTAGCCTAAAGATGTAACATTTATGTTAATGTTAGGTGAAACCGTTGGACTGTTAGCATGATAGGGTTGCCAATAGCAACATTAGAAGAGTGATATTTTCATATTAAAGTATTAGTAGAAAAAATGTTAAAACAAAATTATGGCTCATTTGTATTGTTTTTTTGTTTGGAAATACAAACGGAAACGACTCTACAATTCCACGAACAACTTCTATGCAAAATAACAACTTCTATTCAAATTGAAAATAATCATATTATTGATTTGTTGTTACTACAATATTATAATTAATTTTATGTATTAAGTATGGTTTATTTTAAAGCAATAAACTCAAATTGACAACCCTTAATGATGTCTCTGCCGTGTGGAGGTAATACGAGTGTGTTACAGAAAAATCATTAAAGTAATCATTATAAATAATATTTTAATTGAAATATAAACTAAATAAAATAGTAAACCAAATTTCAAGTTTTAACTTCACTCATAATAGGAATTATTATTATTAAACATTTATTATAATAACACTAGATGCGATTGTGGTCAATTACTTGTCTTGCATAAAATTTTTTTTTGTTTTTTTTTTGCATAAAAACTTGGAAGTTTTCGAGGATAATTCTAGGACGTAGCAGTTGTAAGTCCTGTTTAAAAGCTTATCTTACAGAAAATAAATTAATTTTATAAATTTTAATAAAATCGATACATCAACGCCATCTCTACCAACTCGAATGCCTTTCTTTTTAGTTGCGTATAGTAGTGATGTTGGATCTTGGATCTTGTATTAGTACATACAAAGTTCATTTATATGTCAATAGGTGGCGCTCACAGTTTAGTTAGATGACCAAGCTTTTAAGTTTGATAAAGCTTGTTTGGCTCTACCTTAAGATAAATATAACAAGACCGTAAATATATTATATTCTACACTCCTGCTAGACAATCCTTTTAAATATTATTGTTTTTAAATAACAGACATTGTAAATACATGATGACTGATAATGGTCCTAACACTACATTTATATTGAGTTGCACCATCTTATTTTGACTTTAACAAGTTATTGTTAAAGTTTTGGTCAAAGTAAGTTGGTCGGTAGAGTAGAATACATTTGTCACTAACCCCTATAACTCTTCCCGCGGGTGTCGTAAGAGGTGACTTAGGGATTACATATCAAACAGAGAACGGGCAGCAGCGCTCTCTGAAAAATATCAATCTTTTAAACTGCGATCACCACCCCTCGCCTGCCGAGCGTGGGGATTATGGCAAAATCCTCCATTATAGTGGAGGAGGCTCATATAGTCCAGCAGTGGACTGTAAAGGGCTGTTGATGATGAAGTTGGTGCAATTCAGCCTTAGGGGAGAACCGTATAATCTTTTATTACACTCTGAATTTATATGACGCCCAATAACGCCTGTGACATAACACGCTACCTTGTCCTTAATTCAATTCTTTATTGCTATTCCTCTTTGATTTTACACGAACTTTGATGTTTTAAGTTCACAATATTGACTTCCGTATCATAATTAAATCGCATACAACATTATTACGGTCTAATGACTAATAATAACTAATAAGTTGCTTTGGGTCGTGTTTACATGACGTTCATTAAATGTAGAGCAGGTTTTATAAAGAAAATCCACGATTTGTTTCATTTACAGTTAGTCTTTAATTACTACAAGCTTCTTTGTTAAGGTCCTAACGAATATTAGTACAAATAAAATAGTGGACTGTATTAAAATACGTGCTTTAATTCTCGCCAGCCTCGCGTCCTCCAAGGTTTTCCACAATGAACGGCCCTGCGCTGCTCGCATCCAGGCTCTTCCCGCGACCTTCACCAGAACGTCGGTCCACCTAGTAGGAGGCCTGCCCACGCTACGTCTTCCAGCCCGTGGTCGCCACTCGAGAACTTTTCTGCCCCAAAGGCCATCGTCTCTATGAGCTATGTGCCCCGCCCACTGCCACTTGATTTTAGCAATTCTTCTCGCCAGCCTAATTACAATCAATTATTTAGGACTATTACGCGGTAATCGTGCGTCGAAGGTGGTATCCCAAGGCGAGTGTGTGTTTAGGGCNTGTTTAAATAATAACAACAACTTCACAAATTCCTTAAATTAGTGCATTGACTCTACTCGGACTGATATTCAAAATTTGAATTTTGAACCTTTTTTTTACTTTACAATAAGTTCAAAGCAGGTAAAAACTTAACAAAATATTTACTTTGAGGCTACGCCTAGTAGTTTTTTTTTAAATTGAAATTAAATTATGCGATTTGGGTATTTTGGTGAAATTACTAAAAATTTATGTAAAAGTAGCCATCTGGCATGGAACGTGTTATGGGGGCTGAAAATATAGGAAATGACCCATTCTATCCGCCAAATCATTTTGGCACACGATGCGCCAAACACCCTGTAGAAATAGTAATAAATAATAAGATACCTATTCATAGCTGATTATGATTATACTTGCGAGATAAGAATCCACAACCGCGTCGGTCATTTTTAGAGTCTGACAAGCGAAGCACCGCATGGGCAATGAGGTTCTGGAATGGAGGTTACACACCGGAAAGCACAGCGTAGGACGTCGAATTGAAGGCAGTCGTGCAAGACGTATGATCCTATAAAGATTTTAATAAGCCACTGGATAAATCTGGCTTATGTTCAGCAGTGGACGTCCGTGTCCGTCCGTGTGGCTGATGGTATGTTTAGGGGCCGTCTCATTTGATTATTGTATCAACTGATTTCACTTGTGCTTCTCAAGTAGTTTACATGATGTTCTCATAGTTGGCTTAAAACCATGAGACTTCATTTTACCAGCAACGCCACGCCAACCATGAAAAGTTCACTTTATAAACATTGGCTTGTATTTTTTTTAAATAGGCCTACCATAAATTTATATGAAATAATTATTACTACTACTATGAAGATTAATTACATCAAACACAAAATAATTCCCATTACAAAAAGTTTTGTGCTCATTGTTGTTTCAGTCTACGAGTCTATTAACTACGAGCACTACATACAGTAATACTGCTATACAGTATGCTATACAGTACTACTATACAGTAATACATACTACGAGTATAATATTCCTACAATATTTTTACCCATAATAATAATTTATAAGTGTGTACTTGTTTTGAGAAGTTTTGTTATGATGATAACTGTTGTTAGTTACGTATAACAATATATTATCTGTGATATACCATTAGTTTCAAGAGAGCCTTTCAGGAAAGGGCTTTTACAGTAATGTGTTATACGGGCAGATCAAAGGATTAGGTAGGATATTAAATCTACGAAATTATATTTTGTAACGTCTTTTATTCTTTGTACACCTATTTTATTTACAACTAGTGACTATTTATTTACACGTATTGACTATTTGGTATGATCACAACTTATGCTCTATGGTTCACCAGCAGCAGCTCTTCTTCTGGTAGTGGGTGACGTGCTTGATGATGTGGAGAGGGTACGGCTTCCATACGGGGACTGGCACTTCGACGTGCTTCTCTACTGGCACATGTACCTTCTTGATGACCTCGTATGGCCTGTCCACGGGGATGGGAACCTTTCTGATGACCTCAACAGGCACGTGCTTCACGACCTCATAAGGCACAGGCCTCTCTACTTCGACCGTTTGGGTCTTGTACACTGGGTAAGGCACTTGTTTCACGACATCCACTGGTACATTGTAAGGCTGAGGCACCGGCACCCTCACCTCCTGACGAACAGGCACGGGGTAAGGCTGCGGCACAGCGACCTGCACGTGACGGACGACCTCAACTGGCACGCGTCTGACGACGTCTTGCACGACTGCCTTCAATTCGTATCTTGACGCTGCAGCAATAGGCTTTCCAACCGTCACGGAGGTTCCGATCACTCTTGGTGCTCCAAGGGTTAAGGAGCCACCGCCGGCCGGTGGGGGTGGACGGTTTTCATCAAGATTGAGGCTGCCTGAGGTCTCAGGGGGTCCGTAGACTGGTGCCGGCGCTGCTAGTGGGTATCCAATAGGGCCGCTGCTTATGGGAGTGCTGGGAAGTGGCGCGGGAAGGCTCGCGTCAGCTATCAAGCCTCCTGAGTGCACTGGAGGACCGTAGGAATTTGAAGGAACTCCATATGATGCTGACGGCGCGCTATGGGCTGAATCTGTGTATGAATCGTGATGTATATGGCCTGAATCGTGATGGTGATGGCCGGAATCGTGATGGTGATGGCCGGAATCATGATGGTGATGACCTGATAGGTATCCTGCTCTGACACTGCACACAATCGCCGTCAAGAAGAGCGTCCGAACCTGTAACAATGATAAAGCTTATTGATATCTTTTCGATTGGCTGCTAAATTGATTTGTGTATCATCTCAGGACTTACAACAAACGCCATGGCTTTTAGCTAATCGCTTTGAAGCCAAATCGGGTGATGTGTTGTTGTCTCTTCCGAGCTTTGGTGGTTTGTGAATCGGTAACGTAATGGGCCCGCATATTTATACGGAATCAAAGTTGTTCTGCCGATGCGATGCCTATGAATAAATTAAAGTTTGGTTTAGCGGATGTCGCTGCGTCCGATTCGTCACTAAATTTCTATGTTAATCTGTGGTCTCAATAAGAGTGGTATTTCCTAAGATTACGTAAGGATGATTTATGAGGTGGTTTGGGAGACAGCTGGTCGTCCAACGGGGCCATCATTGTTCTATTGCCCCACTTGTGATAGGCTCGGCAGGTTGATGCGCCTTTTTAGTTGAAAGCTGTTACGTATTTTGGTATTTCTTCGTAATTTCGTAGAACTGCCTCCAGATAAGTATTCATAAGTTTTGGTATACATGTAATACCTTCTTTGTCATTGGTTTGTTGGAAACTTAAAGTTATGGTGGAAGCTTAAACTAATGATATTTTTGTAGGTAAATTGCCTGGATTATTCCTACTTGTATGCTTCTATGTATTGGTGTTATGTCTTTATGATTAGGTGTAAGTATTTATCCTTACAATCACGCAGTGACTAATCGGAGATGAAATGTCATGGCACATTTAATTTCACTAAGTGTACATTTCAAATGAAATTATCCTGTTCATTATTCAGAATATCAAAGTAACGTAATTTTAACTAAAGACATTCTTAATGTCTTTAGTTAAAATTACACAACAGGAATATTGTTTTCATAGGGGTCACTTAAAAATAGGGATTGATGATGAAAACGGGCATAACTCTGTTATTGTAATCCATGTTCAGACATGCAGTACTGCAGGTAGGTACATGCCATACATTATACTGCACACTATTCTCTCATCTATCTTCTTAACTTAGGTAATCCTTGCCATAACAATAATTCAAAACGCCTATTCCGTAGGCTTGGCCATTTCCAACGACATAAACGTTACTTACGTTTCTCTAGAAAGCGATAGAAATTCCATAAAACGTACAAATTTCCATATCCTTGTCATTAAATTTATGCCATTTCATAGCGAAATTTTAACTCTAAAATGATTATGAAGGAATAAAAGTTACAAATTGATTTACGTTATGGTGCTTAGAATTCAGTAACTTATTCATTAACAAATCTCTTTTAAGTCTGATTTTATCGTCGTGTGTGTCCTTGATATGAATTGATTCTATTTTTAGCTGATTGCAGAAACTAAGGTTTAATGTGTTTTAATTATAATATGTCTATTTATGTATATAGAGACCTATCAATTGCATTGTCATAGTTGAATTTTGAATAGTGACCTATTTTTAATGTTATTTAGGTATCTACAGGGTGAAACGATAAGTGATCTCACTCGATTATTTCTAAACTATACAAGATATTGAAAAACTGGTTACTGATCCTGAAAGTGCTTCAAGAGCTCTATCAAACGGTACCAACAATAGGTTACAGAAAAAAACTGGATCTATCTGAAAATTCAATGTTTCCAGCTTCCATACTAAATGTATGCCAGACACACATTATTAGAAGTGTATTTTTTTATTTATTTAATAATAGACTCTTAAAATAAACTCGTAAATTTTATTCTTATTTTAAATTATTCATGGAAAGCATTGGTTTTAAGCTTTATCCCAACTAATCCCAACTAATATTATAAATGCGAAAGTAACTCTGTCTGTCTGTCTGTCTGTCTGTCTGTCTGTCTGTTACGCTTTCCCGCTTAAACCTCGTAACCGATTTTGATGAAATTTGGCATAGAGATAGTTTGAGTCCCGGGAAAGAACATAGGATAGTTTTTATCCCGGTTTTTTAAACAGGGACGCGCGCGATAAAGTTTTTCTGTGACAGACAAAATTCCACGCGGGCGAAGCCGCGGGCGGAAAGCTAGTTTGCTATAATATTGTCAAGAGATGAGTGTCATGAATGTGGTAGTACACAATCTATGGAAGAAGGAAACATTGAATTTTTGGATAGATCCAGTTTATTCTGTAATCTATTATTGATACCATTAGATATAGAGCTTGTGAAGCACTTTTAAAATCAGTAACGAGTTTATTGATATCTTGTAGGTATAATTTAGAAATAATCGAGTGAGATCACTTATCGTTTCCACCCTGTATACACACTATGAAAGTGGGAAGAAAATAATTGCTTTTATAATAATTTTACTTTGAGGCTACTTATTTACCGATTTTTTATCTATCGAGTGTTGGAGATGTCAATGGCCTAACCCAATAATGGATCTACATTATTATCATCTATGATACCTACAAGGCAAGGTGAACCGCCGACCTCATAAATGTAACAGAAAGGTGCTGGATACAGGCAGCTACCAACCGGCCAATATGGAAATTGGAGGAGGTCTGTCTTCAGCAGTGGACGTCCTGTAGCTGAAATGATGATGGTGATGACTCCTGCATCCTAAAATGGTACGAGTTACTTGAAACAGCGTTTCACGTTGAAGGGTTCAATCATTTTGCCATTCTTGGTATTCATCATATTGTATGCCTCTATTATTGTTAAAATATTTTTTTGTACTTTATTAGTGCAATAAAGTTGAAATAAAATAAATTATTAATAACACAACCAGTGAAGAAGGTTAAGTAAGAGGTTGCTAATGAACCAATTTTATCATCTCACAATGGTATCATAGTCCAATAATTTATAATGACTTAAGAAATTTTGATTTGTGTCCATCGTTTCGTCAGCAGTTATGTAAAGTGTCGCCTAACCCTTAATGTATTTCTATGAATTAGTTATTTTTAACATTCGTCTCGCAATAGGCAGTTTCTTCGCCAGTTTTCTCCGTCCTTGGATTTAAATGCAGATGAGCAATAAACATATCATTATGGTGACCGATTTTGCCTCCGATGTCTTCCGGATTGATTTCGACAGTAGTTGCGTAAATATTGGTGACAGTCTAGGCAGTTATGAGCCTGACCTGTGTCACTATCTTCATCTATACATACATTTGATGTAAGAAAATAAGAATGAATAATTGAATAGTTTCTAATTACCTAGTTCCTACTGCACGTAGTAACGTTAGTAATATCTGCTACTTATACTAATTTTCCAATTGACAAAGGTGACTGAGTTTCTTCCGCCACTTCTTCTCAGCACCAGCCCATATGTTGTCCCGAAGTGGTGGTAGGGCAAGCTATATTTAGGACGTGTATAAGTGCCCTACAAAGGGCCTATGTATACTGAACAAACTATTTGAATTTGAAAATACATGATCCTAGGTAAATTAAAAACTTACCTCTCTGTAGCTCTACATTTAAGCTCTATTGCTTCGTTCTTGTTAGAACAGTAGCTAATACCTTACACATTATCAATAGCTAAAAGTTGCCACGGTTGAAATACTTTAGTAACCAACTTTACAAGACAATATTAATGCATTTAAGTTCCTACGCAGGTGTACAATAGTTGTTGCATTTCACGAAGGTGAGTGAGCTTTACATTGGTGGTGGCTCGCTACTGTTCGTTTTTCAAAAGTTTTGATAGACATTACATTATAGTTATGTGCATGCACGCACACGTACAGACACAAGAATACTCACTCGCCTTCGTGAGTTGCAAGAACCATATAATATACATAAAGTAGTTAAAATTGTTCTATCCACAGCTGAAAAATGCTGCTTTTTTACTATTGTGTTGGAATGTGTCAGATATCGGACTTCCGATGTCATAGCTAAGGCTAGACCAGTTAAGTTCCTAGTTCACACACACCAGTAGACCTAGGTTGGATTTTTACTGCGACATCGTAGTCGTTTTACAGAACAATGTTGTAGCCTGAAGTCTTTTTTTCGGCTTCATCAGATTTATAGCTACTGAAAATCATAATACATATACCCAATAACAGTATTTAATGGTCATCATCTCTTATATTGCTTATCAGAATAAAGAGTCGGTATAATGAAGATTCATTAATTGTTTTGTGTTATGAAACTGGGCGGGATTCGAACCCAAAAACTCTAGCTTATTTTTAATATTGATCATTATTGTACAATGGAAATGTTCCTCTAATAAATTATAAGAATAAACTAAGTCACTATTGATTTAAACAGGAAATATACCTATAAAAGTGTTAACTGAATAAACTCATACTTACAATAAATTAGAACACAGCTTGTAGCTCCTTTACCTTTACTGGCCAGTTACAATCTAGCTTAGCTATCATACATATTTACGTAAGTAACTTTGATTCATGAATACCAGCCACCTTATAATATAATCACAAAGTACCTAGTATTGTAGGTATATGTAAATAAGGTAAATACGAGTATAAATTCGTTACTTTATCTCAATATTCAGAGTTCTCGCCTAAACGTATTTTCTTCTTGTAAATAATAATAAATGCAAAATGATAATTAATTACGTATTAAGATATCCAATTTAATTTCTAACAACTCTACGAGTATAATGTCTGTCTTCGATATGATTTATTAAGCTTTATGTTTGTCAGAATTTTTTAGGATTGAATTATTGGATATGGGAAACAGTTGAAGCACCTTAACTCAAAATAAAATAAAATATTCTTTGGAAAATCGTTTTTAATAAAGTAATAAACTTATATTACTATACACAAACGAGACAAACAATAACAATAATACAACTTAACTAATGACTTAGTTATCACCCTACGTTGCAGCCTACGATGAGCCATGACGCGAAATATATTTACAAAAGGACTAGGAATGGTAATGATATATTACATGAGGTAATTGTCTTGTTTGGCGTCTACCATCCGTGGCCGTGGGAACTGTGGCCGTGCGAGCTGTGGCCATGCGAGCTGTGGCCGTGGCTCTGTGCGTGGTGGTGGACAGTCTTCACGTGAGGTACGGCGTACTTCTTCTCGATATGTACCGGCACCTTAATAAGCTTCACAACTGGTACTTTCACAATCTTTTCCACCGGCACGGGGTTGTCTACCGGCACCTTCACCACCTTCTCCACGGGCACTTTTACAATCTTCTCCACGGGGTAAGGCACTGGCTTGTCAACCTTCACTTGCTGATACTTAACCACTGGTACAGGGACGTTTCTGACGCGTGGCACTTGTACGGGGTAAGGCTGTGGCACGGGGATCTCAACCCTTTGGGGAACTTGCACTGGAACGGGCTGGGGAACTCTGTGGGTCACTTCACGGAAGACTTGGTAGGTTTCTTCGCGCACGCGGTAGCGAGTAGGGGCACCGTTGCCGTTAGCCAGGCCGTGGATTTCAGTGATGACGGGAGCTTTGGGACCCGGAGGAAGGGCATCACCCGCACCGGCCGCTCCAATAACGCCACCAACTCCGGCTCCGCCGCCCAGACCACCACCACCGATAGCTCCACCGGCGCCAATGCCTCCAATAGCGCCTCCAATAGCACCTCCAATACCGCCTCCAATACCGCCTCCAATACCGCCTCCAATACCGCCTCCAATAGCGCCTCCTACGGCGCCGATATCTCCACCAGCGCCAATACCGCCGATGGCGCCAATACCTCCAGCACCAAAGGAGGGTCCAGAAGGCAGAGGACCTGATGAGAGAGGTGGAGAAGGCAATGATGATCCGAATCCTGATGATAAGTCAGATGGTGGCAAATAACTAGAGCCAGGAGACGAGAAAGAGTGTGAATCGAGTCCTGATGGAAGGGGCGCTGCTGGCAACGATGGCAGGGGTGCTGCTGGGAGGTGAGAGTCGTACGACGAGCCACTGTCGAAGCCACCGCTAAGCCCGCCTTCAAGGGAATGGCCTGAGATTCCACCGCTTAAAGAGTGGCCTGAAATTCCACCACTCAGAGAGTGACCGGAAAACCCACCGCTCAAGGAATGGCCTGAAAGCCCACCGCTCAAAGAATGGTCGGAGAAACCACCGCTTACCGAATGGCCAGAGAGACCACCGCTTATGGAATGGCCGGAGAGTCCACCGCTAATCGAATGTCCGGAAAGGCCACCACTAAGTGAGTGGCCTGAGAATCCACCACTTAAAGAGTGGCTGGAAAGTCCACTGTCATGGTGAGAGAGGTCGGAGTGGCTGGAATACCCACCTCCAAGTCCATGCCCATGGTCATGGTATGTGGCTGACGGTAAGGAGCCAGCTGGGAAGCTGCTAGGAGAGAAACTGTCCAAAGCACTAGGGGCGCTGAGAGACGACGATGGGAGACTAGAGTGATGGTCATGGTGATCGTGATGGCTTAGAGGCGCGTGGTGATGATTGCCATGTAGGTATCCTGCGTGGGTGTTGCTAACTAGTATGGCAAGAGCTGCCAATTTTGCCTGTGAACAAAAATGATTTAATTGTATTGCTGTCTTATTATGTCTTCAACATTTTCATTTATTTATTGCCTTTGTATTGTTTACTTACAAAAGTAGCCATTTCGATTAGCTAATCGCTGGCCACCGAAGTGAACTTGTGTCTTCTACCACAAGCCTCGCTTGTTTGTGTTGGTCAAAATGTTTTCTTCATATTTATATCGATGTCGCCGGCTGGCTGTAGGTCAACAAAATATTGAGATCGCGAGCGAGGAACCGGTTCGGATACATCTTTCCTTTTCTAACGGAAATAGCTGAATTAATTCAACGATGGATTACTTAATACCTAATGGGCTGGAGGCTTATGGGCGCATCAGTATGAATGACTAACGATTTCTATAAATTATGTTAATGTTGTTAAAATTGGCAAAGATTTTTTTAAGGCGTGACATTATTCTCGTCTGAAATGAAGTAGATAAGTACTTTAATCGAGATCGATTTATAATTGTTAGTATCGCCACTGAAAAGCTGTTATCCGTAAGATGATTCTAATCACAATTTGTTCGTTCATAAATCAGATTAATTAACGAATTGCATTACACGCAACAAATGAAGATACGGCCTTTAAAATGGTCTGCAAAAACGCCGCGTTTCATAATTTGATCTGGACATAAATATCTGCAGTGATCGGCAGAAGTAGAAGTATGGTGCATGCGTTCAGAAAGCGCGACACACGCAACGGGCGAGACACGATCTATCCGACTCGCCAATTCTTGTTTGAACAATAAAACTAATTACTGAATATTAAAGATCGACTTCCAGCTATTAATAATATTAGCACGTCTTTTACTGAGGAAAACGTCCCCGACCAAGTCTTTCTCTCGTTTATAATCAATTAATTTTCATCTAATTCGCATCATTTAATTTTCATTATTTTCAATTTTCCAGAAATTGTACGAATTTTTGAAGATAATCACGGTAATCAATTATGACGGTACAGTAATTAAAAGAACTGCTAATGCTGAAGAAAATCAAGTACTTACTTACGATTATCTTTGGTCAATTATTGCGCAATTCCGCGGACATTAATCTTTATAGCTAACAGATTAGCATTATTTAAGTGAAATCAAGCTGGAGAGATTGAAAAATAACGTGATATGATGTCATATTTTTTCGGTACATGAACACATGATAGTATTCATAGATGCGTAACACACTTAATTGTGTATAACGATTACGCACGAAACAAGTCAATCAATAGTAGTAGACTCCACATAAAAACTAGTGACAATTATTCCAAACATTTTATTTTTTGTAACATCAACAATCTAACAGCGGTAAGAGTTGATCTTATTCGCCCAAAAACTTAACACAACGTCAACTTATCACAAAAAAGTTGGTTATAATTAATTTATCTTAAACTAGAGTATAAAATATTTACAAAACTTAACATTTTAGATAAAGATTCTGACTTAGATCTAGGGCCATAGACTTATTTACAGTAATCACTGCAATTGTATGAATCAATTGAGAATTTTAACTGAATAACATTTTCAGTTTTTACTTAATTTATGAATGACAGTTAGGTACCTACTTAGGTACGAGTAAGTATTTCATTCCATAACTTTCAAGCCTTCAAATAATACCTTGATTATAGTAAATACTATATTGCATCTTTCAAGCAGTCTTGGGATGCAAAAACAATAAAGTATGTCTATGTTGCAAATTAAAAAATAACATTGATAACGTTAAAGTAGAACCTTAACAAGATTAAATATACGGAAGAGTTTTCAGGACTTAGACATCCTGAAAATCCTCGTAGAGATTCAATAAAATAAGTTAAATATTAAATACACTTAAAGAAAATACATGAATTGGCAAACGTTAAAACTATTAGAGAATTTTGTTTCTGCGAACATCTTACGTACTTTCTAATTTGTCCACATCAGATTTGGCTTCTGCGATTTGTGATGGTGGTTGCAACACGGTTTGCAAAGCAGGTTCATCATTTTCAACATCACTTCCAGATTCAAACAATGGCTCTGTTTTTAAAACTCTAACAATTCTAGGCTTCGACACGCGTCGCCTTCGCCCATGTTTTTCATATTTACTTCTAGCACCTCTATTCCTTGGTGAATGTGGTGGTGGTGGTTTCAGAAGGGGATAAGGCTCATCAACATCAGATTTTGGATGTTTTCTTTGAAACGAATGACGGCCTGGTATTAGTGCGTTTGGATGCCTCAGCCTGTCGCGAGAAGGAAACGAATTTTTTGGTCTGTCTTCAACAAATGATGGTAATATGGCATCTTCATCCTGTGCAGTTATATCAGTACCCGTGCTTGCCTCTCGAACGTTTGCTATATCCGCTTCTTCAATTACCGCTCCTATGGGATGAGTATTTGATGCATCAGCAATTGGTATAATACTTTCCTCTTCTTCTTGACTTCTAGAATACTTAACTCCTTGATACGGGAAGCGCCCGGAATTATAAATTTCCAAATAAGGACTGGACACAGCACTAAGGCCATCAGTTATAACCCCAAACCCACCATTATTTTCATTTTTTAGAAGTAATTGCTGCAACTGTGACATGTCAATCTTTAACGGCAGTGGTTTATTAATTGGGTCTCGTAAAGATAAAATATGAGATTCGTCGACTGATGGTTTACCTTTTAGCATTTCTGCAACTAATTTTAAATCCACATTGAATGGATTGGCTACCTTAAAACCATTGATCGTTGACACTAACCCACCTGTTTGTGTGTCTATTTCTGGTCTATTTAAATTAAGATTTTGCTGTTTGTTTAGTAATTTATTCAGAAGACCATTAGCAACGTCGATTTGATGACTGCCTACATTTTGATTAAGTCTCATCGGTAAAGGTGTTGGTAAACTTACTTGGTCATAATTATTCAGCCTTAATGAATCACTGGATAGCCCTTGCGTTAAACGGTAAGGGATATCATTAAGTTTCAAAATACTTGCAATATCAGAAACATGGTTTTGGGGTCGTTGTAATCCTTGTTGTTGAACGTTTGCTGAGGATTGAATGCTGTCCTGATAAATGTTACTACTTGGCGATACATAACTAACTGGTTGTGGGGTACCTTCTATGTAGCGCTTATTTTCGTTCATAGCTTGATTGTACAGTGAATCCTGTGATTGTTGCTTTCCAAAATATTGTTGTATATTTTCAGCCTGTTTAGCGTTTTCTACACCAATGTTGTATTCATCAGGCTTTGCTTTAATATTGAATCCGTAAATGGAATTTTTATCTTTGTAGTAAGAATCAGTTATAGATCGATAATACTGTTTCAAATCAGGTTGTTCTTTTCCATAGCTGGATAACCCGAATTTATTGTTGTTATCTATTCCTGTTACAACTTTACCTTGAGAATCAGAATTAGGGACTACATTTGAAACGTCAATGGGAACAATATTTTTCAATGCTTTATCATGATCAAATGGCTGTTTAGGTTTGCTTTCTACATTATCCTTTGAATTAGGATAAACATACGGCGACCCCGACACAACTGATTGTGTGCTATATGCATAAGAGTTAGAGTTTGTATTATCGAGATACCTGTTTCTTTGTTTATCATTATTTCCATAACTAGTACTACTACTACTACCTGGGGATATATTTCCAAAGTAATTATTAGTGTTGTAGTTAGGTGGAAAGCTGTTATAATATTGTTGTTGCTGCTGCTGTTGTTGTTGCTGTTGCTGTTGATGCTGATGTTGCTGCTGCTGCTGCATTTGCTTTTCATGAGCTTTAGCTGCAGCTTTCGCAAAATCAGATGGATCTAAAGTTTCAGGGCTAGACTTAGATATTTGATCATAGCCGTGTGACCTTCCTATATCCATTTGAAAACTCATTTGACTAACCGCTGGTGATTCAGTAGATTGTGAACCAAATGATTGGTATCGATAATTCGCAGGTGTGTATACCTCTTGGTTACTGGGTGGCTTTTTCGATGGCATTTTCCAACCATAGTCGCCATGAGAGTAATAAGTGTACTGTCCATTATCTGACTCTGGTTCTCTATTGCGTGACTTTAAATTGTTCATCATGAAATCAGGTTGAACAAGATTTAAAAATACATTATTTGCTGGAGGAATATTTGAAATACGATGAGTTTCAGCGTTCAAATTATCAGCATTATTATCTTGGTTATTGTTGTATTGACTATTTTGATACTGAGTAGCCATATCTTGTAAAGACTTTTGCAATGAATTTTGCCAGGATTCTTGAACTGATTCAGAGTAAGGAGACGAAGAAGGAGCTGGCGTGGAACTAGGATACTCATTTTGATATTGCTGTACGTTTATGGGATATCTTACTCCATTAGCGGAGTTGTCATAGTGGTCAATTTGCATCTTTTTAGTTATTTCGTTATCGTAATTTAGCGAATTACTTCCAAGTGTCGAAGTAATCCTATTATTTCCATAATCGGACGTTCCAGTTTGAATATTAGATAAGGGTGATGACACGTACTGTTGTAAGTTAGGAGGACTTGATAAATAAATAGGAGATGAACTTGAAACATAACTGCTTGATGGTGTACCTACAAATTGATTACTAGGTAAAGCAGTTGATAAGTATGAAGGAATAGGAGATGGAGTGCTTTGAATGGTGTCTAAACCGAACGTATTTGATGAGCCATATTGGTACGGATTTGAGTTGGTGATAAATGTTGGGACATGTGACATTTTCGGTTCTAACTGTGGGATCTGGTTTTGTTGCTGGTTATTGTTTTCATAACTGGAAGGAGCTGCTGTAGAGTACTGGTACTGCGGCTGTGGTGTTGCTGTGTAACCCAAGTTGGAAGCTTGGGTGGATAGCTGTTGCTGTTGCTGTTGGTAGTACTGGTTTTCTCTCTCCCTCATCTGTTGTAGGAACTCTTCGGGTGGTAAGGAGTACTGTACTGACGCGTACTGGTTACTAGCCCCCGTGCCGCTGTCTTGTGTTTCTTGTTCTGGCTGTCTGGTTTCCTCATCCTCTGGGCGTTGGAAGGGGTTTTTGATGCGGTAGATTTTTCTTGGTCTAGCACGATCTGCTCTATTGTACTCATCGTTTTTGTCTGGGTCTGCCATTTGATACCTGACGCTCACAGAGCTGATGGACTGCGTGTTGGGGTCCCTCTGGATGATGTTGGTGCTATAGCTGGTGATGGTTTCCACTTGCCCTTCGTTGGAGGCGATCTGCTGCAGGCGCAGGAGGTCCTGGTTGCTGAACCCATCTTGACAGCGGACGTGTTGAATTACTTGTATTATGACTAGTATCCGTATCTGGAAGAAGAAAAATCTCTGTTAATACTTAATACCGGCTTGAAATATGTGTACTACGTGACCTCATACCTAATTATAAGAAGTTTGACTCATTATTTAAAAAAATGTTCAATGTCGAAGACCGATACATCAGTTGTTCTTATAATTATAATAAGTTATAAAACGATATTTTATTTCACTAAAATAACTTCTTAAGGTTTCAAGGAATAGCCCACATATTTCGAAGTAACTTCATAATTCCAAGTCTATCTCGCAAACAAGAACCTCTATACAAATTATGTTCGCATAAAAACAACCGTTGGATTCATTGGAATTCAACAGTGGACAAGTTTTCCTACATTTTACAAGTTTCCTAAGGCGGGTGCAAGTTTTCTCTTCATAGTGCACTTAAGGTAAGGTCTCGTGTTTAGGTCCGCGTCGACCTGCGACTTGCTGATGAGCGGTTAATTATAGTATGGAAATTACAAACCATAACCACTTTCGCTGGGCAAGCGCCAATTTAGCCTTTGACGAGGCATGAAGTGTCAGTAGTATCTAATGTAGGAAGCTTTGAGAATCTTGTCTAGATCATAGGCTGAGTATAGATAGGTAGAATATCGTTTGGCATGGCCGGAAAACCAGTGTACGGTATTCGACGTTAAAACATAATTATGGGCATTATGAGAGACACCAAATATTAGGAAAGTAA